TGAAATAGGAAGAAAAGGGGCAAAGGGGAAGGGGAAGTGGGAGGGGTAGGGGAAAGGAAAGAAGGTAATGGAATTAATATGAGAAAATGGAAAAAAGGAAACAAAGCCTTTTAAATAGGGAGCGAGGGAGGGGTTGAAGGGAGGGCAGGGGAAGGGGGAAAAATAAGAACCAAGAGAGTATGTAAAGGTGCATGTTTCCAGTGGTGAATTTCATTATATTGTACACCTAAAATGTACCAATAAAAGGATGAAAAAAAAAAAAAAGAATGATCACAAAACTAAGTTCTACCTGTGAAATGTGGTCAGGGGCCACTTCCAGGTAAGAGCATGGTTCCTCATCACATTCCTTCCCCTTTTGCCAGCTCTACCCTCTAAGTGACAGCCCAGTCCCAACCAAGAAAAGAACTAGCCCTAAGGATCAGTGGAGCCATAAGATGGAAGGAGCCTGGGCCGGAACTTCTCATGGGGGAGGCTGCCCCTTAAGCTGGAACACCCACCCTGGACTATACAGCTGTGTATTTCGGGGTCTATTTGTTACAACACTTTAGCTTACTTTGTGAACAGATTTGGTGGCAGAGCTTCCAAATTCTACAGACCTGGACCTCTCAGTTCTAACTCCATCTATTCAATAAAGGAAGCAAAACCTCCAGAGAAGGAAATAGATTTGTCTGGCGTCATATAGGATGGCACACATCACTCAGGATAGCCCATCAGTTTTCTTTCCATAGGCCAATCTGTCTTCTATAATAGTCCTACATATGTGGGCTTGTGGTACTGTACAAGGCCATGAGATTTCTATGTCAGCAAGAGGGAGGGGCATGGACAAAGGGAGGGAATGCATTTTTCTTGGCCTGCATTAGTGAGTCATTAGCAACCTACAGTGCTTAAATTATCTGGAATGAACATTCAAATCTACAACATGTAAGTAACAGATCTGCTTGCAATTGTTCCTAGCATTTATTACTTCTACTTAATGTAGGCAAAGATGAGCATTTTATGTCAGGAGACAACACTGTCATCAGATCCCTGCCATTTCACAATTACACTCTATCTTAGGGGGTGAGAAATATGAATATAGAGGAGTGTTTGACTTTTTGGATTACTTTACATGTAGAAAGAAAATAATGTGTAGCAAAAGAATTATGACGATGATAAAATAACCACCATTTACCATGTAATGAATGCTATGTCAGTCACCATGTAAGAAACTTTATACATACAATCATATTTAATTTCTGTATTAGTCAGCTTTGCTGTGGTAACAAACAGTTCCTAAAATCTCTGTGGCTTATGAAACAAATGTTTACTCTTTGCTCATGTTACATGTACTTCCTTGGGCTTTTTCACTGTGGGATCTAGGCTGAAGCAACAGTCTCTGGGGACAGGCCATTCTGGTGATAGAAAGGAAGAGTCAAAATAGTGAAATTTGCAATGCCTGTTAAAGCTCTTTTTGGACATGTCTACATTAAGTTGATGGTAATGGGCAAGAATGTATAAACTTCATGCAGGAAAAAGAAACTGGGGACAATGATAAAATGTCATACTGCAAAATAAATATTAATTCCACCCCCTCGTCACTTTCAGAGAGGAGATGAGTTAACTGCTAAGCTCTTTCTGGAGAGTGGAAATATCCCTTCAGGTTAGGGGGAACTGGAAAGAGCTTTGGTAAAATTTGAGCTAGGATTTGGTTAGGTAATATATTGGTATAAGCAAAGGGAAATCCCAGAGTACAGAGGTGGGGAAGAGTATCAATTAAACAACCTCAGCTGGCTACAGAGTAGATGAGAAAAAAAGCCTGAGAGGAGTTGAGTCATACCATGGGGGCAGTGGGGCTGGGGTGGGGTGGTCATTGAATGCTGAGCCAACAAGCTTAACTTCACTTAGAAGGTAGAGGGAAGCTTTGAGATATATTTGTGCAAAAGAATGCCATGATTTGAAGATCAATTTGCCCAGGGAGTGCAGGTGGGCTGATACAGCAAGAAATTGAAAGCAGGAACAAAAGTAAGGCCCTACGTGTACAAAGTATGGGTCGTGAAGGGGGGTGATGGCAGTTGGAATACAGCAAGGGTCAATTTCAGAAACTCAGAACCAGTGGTTTAAAAAATCAGTCCCACTTTCATCACCCCCTTCTAGTAATTAAATATAGCAATTAAAGCCATGTGAAGAAAGTATTGTTTTTATCCTACTCTAGAATATATTGTTTTTAAAAAAACCAATAAAAGCCATACAAAGGAAAGCTTCAAGACAAGTTCCCATCTCCCTGGGAGGAGACAGCTGCCTCTGACCCCCATGTATAGCCGCCTCTCATGACCAGTGCTTTAACCAGAGCCAGAACTTAAACCAAAGTTGGGGATAGGAGATATCCAAGCTAAGGCCAAGCCCAGGACCTGGTTGACAGGGAGGAGCACGAATGGTCAGTTTCAAGGTAAGGTATGTCATGTGGTCACCATCTCCAGCAGACGCTTAAGAATTCAGATCTCAAACTGTATGTAGAGTATAAAACTGTTTCAACAAATGAGATAAAAATAACTGTGTATGTGAAAATGCTTTGCAATGTGATAAGCACCACCTGAACTTCATCTAAGATTTTTTTCCTTCTAGGAGCACAGATATGTAATATTCAAATATTCCTTGTTTAAAAAAAATTGTGCTACTATATTACAACCAAGTTAGCCGGTTTTAGGAGGTTTTGCTAAGGAAAGAATTCATTTTGGTCTTTACCAAAGAAGATGTAAAGACAAAAAAGAGAAAGGAAGCGGTCTCCAACCGCGGAGCGAGGGGACCATTTCAACAGACTCAGGACGCTTGGACCGGGGCCTTGAGGTCCCAGGTGTACGGACCAGTCCTGTGGAAATCGCTCAGGGGCTCTGCAAGCTAGAACACTGCGCGAAGTTGACAGAAAGCAAAGGTGAAACGCACCTGCCACAGGAGCAAGGGCTTCAGCCTAAAGTCCCAGAGCCCGAGGCACGAGACCCCTACGACAAAGACAAAGGCTCCAGCCGCGGGAGGAGAGAGTGCGCGTGCGCCATGAAGCACGCGTGCGCGAGGCGGTCAGCGCCCCAGCCCAAGGCGTGGCGGGAGTGGGACCAGGGTAGAGAACCTCGGAGAGGAGCTAGCCAGGAGACGCCGGAGTGCCCAGAGGTGAGGCGCTCGCGTGCGCCCACTGGTGGCCGGAGGGGAAGGCGCCCGCGAAGGCCTTGCTCCCCGCCTCTCCCCTGGCGAGGCTCGCGCTCCCGCTGCTCGCGCCTGCGCCTCCCGCCGGCCTCGGGTACGCGCCCTCTTGCCGGCGCGCGCTCGCAGTCACCGCCACCCACCAGCTCCGGCACCAGCAGCTGCGCTGCCACCACCTCCCACCTTCTGCCGCCGCAGCCACAGCCACCTTCTCCACTGTCCTCGCCTTCCGTCGACTATCAGGTAAGCGCCAAGGCTCCGAATCTGCGTCTCCGTCCGCTCCTCTGCACCGCCCCCGCGATGCCCCTCATCCCAGGAGGGGGTTTAAGGCGCGGGGAGTCCGTCCGAGGCAACGACGGGGACCCTCCCTGCGCCCTCGGCGTTCAGGGGCTGTAGAGAGGGCGACTTAGAAAGGGACGCGTGCAAGGGATGCACGCACGCGTGTGGGTGCGTGTGTCTGTATGTTTGTGTGTGCTCAGGATCCACACGACCTGCTTCTCGAAAACCCCGGAGGGAGGCTGTGCCCGCAGGGTGGGGCACGGATGGCGGTGACCTGGGAGTGGGCTGCTCTGCATCCTCGATCTCAGCCTTTGGCCGCAATGTGCGTGTGTGTGTGTGTGTGTGTGTGTGTGTGTGTGTAGGGTCCATAGACGACCCCCCTGAGACAGAATCCCAAATCCGATTTTTCTGTCCGTGTTTGGCGTCAGTCCTAAGGAAGATAGGATCGGGTTCTAGAAAAGATGATTCTCTGCCTACCTCTTCCCCTGCATCTCCCGGCAGCGATCGCGACGGGGCCTTCGCTGCCCCTGATTTCAGGCGGTGGTCCGCCCCCTCCCCTTTTCCTCCTTCAGAAACCCGCCAGGGACATTTGGGGGCTGGGAGGAACCGGGGAGATGGGGAGGGGTCCAGGCGCCGTCATTTTAGCTGCCCTTCCCCCTGCGCGCCCCTGGTGCAGAGACTGGAGCAGCGCCGAGCCTGAGAGAATGTAGTGCGCGGATTTAATCCCCATGTGGACTCGAAAATGCAGGGTCACCTGGCCTTGCGGCGTGAGTAGACACGGCAGCCGCGACTCCCAGCTCGCGGGCGCGCACAGCCCCAGCCCCGCACAGAAGCGCGCGGGGGCTGCAGGTGCATTTCGGGGCGGGTTCCTTTCTCTGCGCTCTTCGCTCTGCGCTCGGCGCCCGGCGCCCCGCGCCCGGCGTTGCGCTCCCTGCCGGAGGCGCGGAGCTGGAGTCCAGGGCTCGCCCCTCACTGCGGCAGTGGGTGTGGACCTGGGTGGGTGAGGAAGGAGAGAGTAGGCTGTGCTGCCTCCCGCTTCCACCCCTCCCCCGTTTTTTCCCCCTCCGAACGCGAGGTGCCATCTTTTTGCGGCGTGTCACGTCTTTATCGTACTATGCCAAGTCGGGTGTCTGGGCTTCCGAGGACAGGGCAGGGACTGGCATTAAAGGGGAGAGGGGCGATCGGCGCTGAAATCGACATTTTGCTGCTGGGGACGTGAGCTTTGAGGGCGTTCACCCAGGATCTTCTAAGGGAGCTCGCTGCTTTGTTGTAGAGGTTACAACAATCTGCGCCCCTAGCCCCGGTTTTTTTTGGGGGGGGGGCTTTTATTCTAGGAGACTGTTTTGCCGACACCCCCCCCAACATACCCCTCCCATTTCGTCTCTCATTTCTGATCCTTTGTTGGATGGATCTCAGAGCTTGCTGGGGTCAGTGGCTCCGAGTCACAACCCGCACCAGATGTGCATGACCCGGCAGAGCCGGGGAGCGTCGGCGAGGCCAGGGGAATGGTGTTCGAGGTTTCTGCGCGCAGAGCGGGTGGCTGCGGAGGAACCACGCCCCTTCCTACTCTTGAGCATCTGGAGGCCACTAGGCTTCCCATTAGGGACGCTAACCACCTCCCGGAGATGGGGGACCTCGCAAACGGAGCTCCTCTCCGAGGTTTTACTCCCTGTTGCTTCTCCTGAAGGAGGAATGTGAGAAGGGGGCATGAGTTTCCTGTACTGAGACCACACCCATCTTTACGAGCCCAGGGCCGGGGAGGTGTGCAGCACGAGGGTTACCGTGGGAGCCGATCTCGTCTGGAGGTGGGACCTCGGGGTGTTGCCCTGCCCCGCGGAGACTGAGAATCCTGGGGTTGGCCTCCTGGAGGACACCGAAGGGAACCCCCCAGTCCCTGACCGATGGCTCACTCTAATTGATCCCAGAGGCCACAGCCCGATAAGCGTCCCTGTTGTATTTTTTATTATTATGAATGTGCCGATTAATTATTTTATATTATTTCTCTTGCGTGGGATTTTCACTTAAATGTTCAAGTTCACTGCTGCCCTTGAAACCCAGGCAAGGGAGTAGGGGGAGGGGCGAACTCCCAGCGCACCAGTCCCAGCCTCCAGCCCTGCCTTGGGCCGATTCGCGCGGCTTTCTGGTTCATTCTATCGCTGAACATTGGTGCAGGGGTGCAGTTCTGAGACGGATGAGAAGCTTAGAAGCCGTGTCGTTCACACGGGCCGCCCAGGTTGATCTGAATTTATGGGGGAGGCCCACTTGGCTTGGGGAGGAGCGCTCTCACCCGCCCAGGCTGCTCCTTCGCGCACCGCTAGGCTGGCTGGCTGGCTGCCCGAGTAGCTCCAGGATCGATTCAAACATTTCCCAGCCCTGCCCCCTTCTCCTACCACCCGACACAGCTGGGCGCAGGATTCCCATTCCAGACTGAGCAAGGGTCTTGGGCAGCCAGGGAAAGGGGAGCCCGCAAACAAAGGTGTCAGTGCAGCCCCTCAGACAAAGATGTCCCCTCCTGTCCTTTTGGGGGAAAACGCGGGGGCGAACGCATTTTGCCTAACGAAGTAACAAAGCGGATGCCACGCATCTGGGATACCTTTGCGATTTGAAATCGTGTTGGTGGTTTGATGGGGCTCTGCGGTTGGCAAGGCCGGAGGTCTGCTAATGGAGGAACCCCGGGGGCGGGGTCATGGCCTTTCCTGCGATGATTGGGAAACTCCGTACCTGCCTCGGTGCATGCTTTTTTTTTTTTTTTTTTTTGGTACCGCGGAATCGAACTCGGGACCTTGCACTTTCGAGGCAGGCGGCGGAACCACTGAGCTTAATCCCCGGGCCTTGGTGCACGCTTTTACCAAACAGCCTCACCCCACGACCTGGAGGGATGCACCTTTTGCGCCCACGCCGCTGAGCCAGCCGACAATTACAGAAAGGTTCCGGCACCCCACCCCACCCCACTTCACACCGCCCGGCCCTACGGGCTAAGAGGTTCTTTTGCATGCAGAGATGCTTCACTCGCCCTCTGCTGTTCAGGAACCTGGAATTCCAAGCCCTAGGTTCAGGCTGGTTGCAGTTGGGATGGATGATGGAGACAGTGACTGTCTGTGGCTGCTGCAGACTGCTGTGTGTTCAGGCTTCAGGCTCAGCAGCACAGCTTTGACCTCTGTCGGCACTGCCCCTCCCCTCAACTGACCCATTCTCCAGCCAAGGGAAATGTCTTTCCTGTCATATCTATTTTCATGGTTAATTCTGAGGTGTCATTTTGTGTTTAATGATGGTGCTTGTGTTTACCACAAAAAAATTGCTTATCCCTCATCTTCAGACCCTCTAAATGAATAAATGGGCTGATAAATAGACAGGTGGACAAATTACTAAGTGCACCACCTCCCTCTGCCAGCTCTGGATCGTCTGAAGTGGCTGTAGAAGAAGCTAATGCATTCCTTGGCTAATGTTTGCCTCCCTAGAAAATGTGTTTGAAGAGCTTGGCTCTTGGATTCCCCTTGGACCATTTGCAGGAGGGGTTTGTTGGCTTTCCTGTGTCTTTGGACTAGTGATAGTCCATGACTCTGTGTCCCTGCCCTGCCCTGCCCTTGTCTGCACATGCCTGTTGTGGAAGGGTGTGGCTTTTAAGTGGCTTCTAGTGTCAGGCACTGCTTCCCAGACTGGAACCAAGGAAATGGATAGTGCCCACTAATTGTAACAAGAAAACTTAGAATCAGTTTGATTGAAGAATGGTCAGATTTATTCGCTCTTGGGAAAGGACCCCTTGTGTGGAATGTGCCCTTTGACCCACACACCCTTGCAGGTCAAGACCAGCCTGCAGGCATGATAGGGCTGTGGTGTCTTGTTTAAATTGACTTTTCCTTCTGCCTTTTGGACATCAGTTTGTACAGTTTGTTTGTTAAAATATTTTTTAAGAGATAATGTTTTATTCCACTTTCCCCCAGCATTGTTTGTATGGTTTGAGTGGCTCCCTAGCTGTGCATATGAATGTGTGTTACTTTTCCATTTGAACATATGATAATTTTCCAACTAGACCTTGCCTTCTATTTATTTAGTTAGCACCTTTCTTATTCTGCCTTTTGAAAAAGATCACTAGGAAACAAATAAAAAACATCTTTAGGGGCCTAATACAGGGTTAAACATACAACAAGTATTTGGCTCATACTCATTTAACAAATAAATGGATACAATGGAGAAGTATAGGTATAGGGCTGGGGATTTAGCTCAGTGGCGCCGTGCCTGCCTTGCAAGCGAAAGGTCCTGAGCTTGATCTCTGGTACAGAAAGAAAGAAAGAAGGGGGGGGGAGAAGAAGTATAGGTATAGAGAATGGCAAAGAGAAAGTAGAATGGGGTGTGTATGCCTTCTTTAAGGTCACAGCATCAGGAAACTTTGGCGGTAAATCCAATCCAGTTTGTCCCAGCTCTGTGTCCAAATGACTTCCAATTTCCCGTGTCCCCTGGTGCACCTCCTTGGCTTTCTTTGTCCTGGATTGGGCCCAAGTGCCTGGTTTCCATAACTTATCTCTTCCTTGTTGGTAAAAGGGAAAGAGGAGAAACCACACCACAATCCTTCCTGCCTGCTACCTGTGGGACAGTTAGTGAGATGGGGGTGGAGAACCCTGCTCTCTATGTTCCTTCCTCTCCCTCTTGCCTGCTCTTTTCATCAACCACTTCAGGGATTCCCCCTCACTCCCTCCCACCCCCACAGAAACCCACCTGCTATGTCCAGGAGTTAGGGGCTTCCACCAGTGACTTGGAGCTGGCTTTGGGGGTAACTTGGCAGGTAAAGGAAGAGAAGATCCCACCTGGGCTGCAGTGGGAAGAGGAACCCTGGCATTACAGCTGGGGCTTTCTGTGGTTTCCCTGTAAATCAGTGGTTCTCAGCTAGAGCAGCTGAGATGTCTAAAGAGATGTTTAATTTTCATAGCTGGGGAAGGGTGCTACCAGGATCTCATGAGTAGAAGCAA